AGTGGCACGATCTCGGCTCACTGCAAGCTCCACCTCCCGGGTTCACGCCATTCTCCTGCCTCAGCCTCCCGAGTAGCTGGGACTCAGGCACCTGATACCACACTCAGCTAATTTTTTGTATTTTTAGTAGAGATGGGCTTTCACCGTGTTTGCCAGGATGGTCTAGATCTCCTGACCTCGTGATCCACCCACCTCAGCTTCCCAAAGTGCTGGGATTACAGGTGTGAGCCACCGTGCCCGGCCGGTCATTTATATTTTTAAGAAAAATATAAAATTTGGGGGTATTTTCTGAATTATCAAGTTGGCACAGAATTGACAATTGTATACTCTTAAAACTTTTCACTCCCTCTGTATCTTTTGGTTTTTATCCCTTTTTCATTTTGTGTCTTTGTATTTTTATATTTGCCCCCTGGTTCCTAAGCCTTGGTTCATCAGCCTTGCCAAGTTTATTTCTTTGTGCCCCACTCACTGGCAACAGGGACTGGTGTTTGGCAGCATGGCCTGTTGCCCAGAAGTGCAGGCTCTAGAGCCAGATTCCCTGGGTTCAGAAGCCAGCACCCCTTTGTAGATATGTGAACTTGAGTGATTTCTTTTATATAAAATTATGGCTGCCTTTTCTGTAAGATAGGCTGACAATAGGATCTACCTCATTGAACTGTGGGGAAGATTAAATGAGTTGATGCATTTAAAGTGCTTAGAGGCCAGGTGTGGAAGCTCACACCTGTAATCTCAGCAGGTTGGGAGGCTGGGGCGGGAGGAGGATCACCTGAGCTCAGGAGTTCAAGATCAGCCTGGGCAACATAGTGAAACCCCACCTCTACAAAAAAAAAAAAAAATACAAATATTAGCTGGGCCTGGTGGCAAGGTGAGAGGCCAAGGTGGGAGGATCATGAGCCTTGGAGGTCGAGGCTGCAGTGAGCCACGATCACACCACTGCACTCCAGCCTGGGCAACAGAGCAAGACCCTGTTTCAAAAACAAAGAACAAAAAAAAGTAGTACATATTATTAAAGAGTATTTTTTAAATGGGGAAGGTGTAAAAGGGATTTAAAAACACGTTGGGGCCGGGTGCGGTGGCTCACGCCTGTGATCCCTGCACTTTGGGAGGCCAAGGCGGGTGGATCACGAGGTCAGGAGATCGAGACCATCCTGCCTAACACGGTGAAACCCCGTCTCTAGTGAAAACACAAAAAATTAGCCGGGCGTGGTGGCAGGTGCCTGTAGTCCCAACTACTCAGGAGGCTGAGGAAGGAGAATGGCATGAACCCGGGAGGCGGAGCTTGCAGTGAGCAGAGATCGCACCACTGCACTCCAGCCTGCGCGACAGAGCGAGACTCTCTCAAAAAAAACAAAAAACAAAACAAATAAACAAAAATAACACCTTGGAGCCTTCTACCCCAAAACACCAATACCATGTTAATGAATTTTACTTTAGGTATATGAATGCCAACATATTTTGGTTTCTATCACCTTTTGTGTTGGGAGAAAAAAATTCTCTTTCCAGATGACTAAAAGAAAAAATAGGCTGGTCACAGTGGTTCATGCCTGTAATCCCAGCACTTTCGAAGGCCAAGGTGTGCAGCCTCACCTGAGGTTAGGAGTTCGAGACTAGCCTGGCCAACATGGTGAAACCTCGTCTCTACTAAAAATACAAAAAAATTAGCCGGGTGCAGTGGCACACACCTGTAGTCTAGGCTATTCGGGACGCTGAGGCTGGAGAATCGCTTGAACCCGGGAGGCAGAGGTTGCAGTAAGCCGAGATCATTCTACTGCACCCTATCCTGGGTGACAGAGTGAGACTTCGCCTCAAAAAAAAAAAGATTAAATTTTTCTTTTTTCTTTTTTCTTTTTTTTTTTTTTATTTTGAGACAGTCTCGCTGTGTCACCCAGGCTGGGGTGCAGTGGTGAAATCTCAGCTCACTGCAAGCTCCGCCTCCTGGGTTCATGCCATTCTCCTGCCTCAGCCTCCCGAGTAGCTGGGACTACAGGTGCCCGCCACCACGCCCGGCTAATTTTTTTGTATTTTCAGTAGAGACGGGGTTTCACCGTGTTAGCCAGGATGGTCTCGATCTCCTGACCTCGTGATCCACCCGTCTTGGCCTCCCAAAGTGCTGGGATTACAGGCGTGAGTCAGCGCGCCCAGCCAAGAAAGATTAAATTTTAGGGATAAAACTTATTGAAAAGTATGTCGCAAATGTATATTTAGAATTCTCATCTTCTCTGAGTTAATTGGAGACCCTTTGCTTTTCCATTTCATACAGGAAATCTAGGAATCTCTCTTAACTGTTTCCAGTTTGAGAAAACAGTCAGCTTTTATAAGTTTATGTTTACCTAATATTGTTATTTTCTACAGCTGCACAGTTGGGGATCTTCAAACCAAGATAGATGGCTTGGAAAAGACTAATTCAAAGCTTCAAGAAGAGGTTTGTAAGTTTTATTGAGATTTTTAGATGAAACAGAATGACCCAAGGTTAGAGAAATGGTGTAGTCGGTCTGTGGAAGCAGAGCTTCTTGCTGGTAGGAAGGGGCTTGCTAACCTCCAGTTGCCCCACGTAGGACAGGGGAATGTCTGTGTTCTGCCCTGTCCGAGGCTCCCGGTGAGACACTGCAGCTGATCACAAGCCAGTTCTAAGTGACTTAGATTTTATCACCTCAAAGTCATCCCATAGAAGGAAACTGCTTTTTGGAAAAGCCCAGCTTCTGTGGTGGAAGAGCCGTGTCTTCCTCTTCTTCTTCCTTTCCTATGATGCCGCGTGCCTCCCTGCTGCCCCAGAAAGCACAGACTCTGTCATAAGGAATGAGTGTCCTCGCCCACCCCTTCTGCTTTGGCCTCAGGAGCATGCAACCAGCCTCCCCACAGTGCGGTCTTTCTCTGCTTTCTCACTAGGAAGAGAGAATGAAAGGACAGGACAAAGGAGGGCTGAGCCGAGGAAGAGAGCTTGCTGCCAGCTGCCCGGCAGTCTGCTTGGTGGACACATCTTGTCTCCTGTTAGCAGGAGGGGGGTGCTCAGCCCTTCTGAGGCTCTCCACAGGTAGCAGTGTCCGGCTGCCCAGGCCTCCCACCTAGAAGGACGAGGGCTCTGAGAGGGGCGAACGCCTCCACGGCATGGAGGTGGGTTACAGCAGAAAGGAGAGCCTCAGAGCCCACCTCTGTAACGAGGGACCCCGTGTAAGGCTCCCTAAAGCCGACTGCTCCCTCCTGAGGCGCCAGCCCTGAAAGCCTTTCAGGAAAGGAGCTCAGATTGGTGTGAGGAGAAGGAAATTGAAGACAGCGTCTTAGATGGGGGTGTCATGGGGGAAACTTCATGGAACTTAGGATTGGAGGCTGCACAGTCACCTTGGTAGGCAGGCCTTCGAGCCTCAGGCTAGGTAGGTCGGTTGTTGAGCTCACTTTTCTCGTCCCAAGTTAGGTAATAATACGTGCTTTACAGTACTGTTGCAAAGATTAAGACTAATATCTTGTAATGTGCTTAGGGCAACGCTTGCCACGTGGGAACTCGAGTTGTTTGATTTTAGAACAAGCAGATTCACTACTTCTCAGTCCAGGCGGCGTGCTTTGGTGAAGGTCCGATTCAGCTTTTGAAACCAAACAGAGTTATGTGCGGTTTTCCGCTTTTTCAGACAGGGTCTCACTCTGTCACCCGGGCCGGAGTGCAGTGGTGCAGTCATCGCTTACTGTAACCTCAGACCCCTGGGCTCAAGAGACCCTCCTGCCTCAACCTCCCAGTAGCTGGCACTACAGGTACACACCACCAACACCCGGCTCATTTTTTAACTTTTTGTAGAGACAGGATCTCACTTTGTTGCTGAGGCAGGTCTCAAACTCCTAGGCTAAAGTGACACCCCACCTTGGCCTCCCAAAGTGCTGGGATTACAGACGTGAGTCGCTGAGCCCAGCTTCGGTTATGTTTTCTTTTTTTTTTTTTTTCCTTTTTTGAGACAGAGTCTTGCTCTGTTGCCCGGGCTGGAGTACAGTAGTGACGTGATCTCTGCTCACTGCAAGCTCTGCCTCCCGGGTTCACATTATTCTGCCTCAGCCTCCTGAGTAGCTGGGATTACAGACGCCGGCCACCACATTCAGCTATTTTTTTTTTTTTTTTTTTTTTTTTTTTTTTGTATTTTTATTAGAGACGGTGTTTCACCGTGTTAGCCAGGATGGTCTCAATCTCCTGACCTTGTGATCTGCCTGCCTCGGCCTCCCAAAGTGCTGGGATTACAGGCGTGAGCCACCGCGCCCGGCCAGGTTATGTTTTCTTTAAAGGCAAATGATTGTAATAGAAAATGTGCTTCAGCCAGGTGTGGTGGCTCATGCCTGTAAATCCCAGCTCTTTGGGAGGCCAAGGTAGAAGACTTGCTTGAGCCCAGGAGTTTGAGATCAGCCTGGGCAACGTGGCAACACTCTGTCTCTACAAAAAATTTAAAAATTTGGTGTGGTGACACACACCTGTACTCCCAGCTACTCGGGAGGCTGAGGTGAGAGGATCACTTGAGCCTAGGAGTTAGAGGCTGCAGTGAGACAGAGTAACACCCTGTCTCAATTACAAAACAAAGAAATGTGCTTAGTGAAAAGCATCGCCCTCTTCAGGGTGTGCTCTCTGCATCTCCAGAGAGTAGAATGGGAATTAGCTTATGGTTTTTGCCTGCTTCTTCCCTTTGAGCAACTAACACGCCCTTTGAAGCCTTGATGTTTGTTTTTCTGGGCACAGCAGTTATGTGTAGAAACCCCAGGCTGGGTTCTGAGTCTAAGTGGAGAGTAATTCTCAGGAGTTTTAGACACTGTTGACAGAGAAGGTGAGGAGTTAGTGCTTCGAGTCCCTCCACTAGTGAATGATGCCGAAAGCCAGCCAAGCACCAAGGACGGAGATCTTGCTTCTTTCTCCCCAGCTGCACCTTCCTCTCTGCAAGCTGTGTAATGAGGCTGGAGTGAGGAGGGGCTGGTTTCTGTGTTTACTCATCTGCCTTGCCTCTTGAGACAACCTCTCCTTAGGCAGGTCCCTAACAGCATCCTGCTTCTCTATGCTTTTCCCTCAGCCGTGAGAAGTCCTTCCAGGGGAAGAAGAGGTCCTCTCGGGCATATCGCCAATGATTTGTTTTTTATTCCCCCCTGCAAATTCTTTAATCCTCCCTCTAGTGATTGAAATACACTTTTACTGATCATTAGCCTGAAAAACTGGAAAGAAAGAAGAGTCAGGACGAAAGCCCGTAACCCCTTCACTAAGTGACAGCTATTCTTACCATTTTATTATTTGATATGTGGTGTTCCCATCTTTTCTTTTTTCTTTTTTGAGACAGGCTCTGGCTCTGTCCGTCACCCAGGCTGGAGTGCAGTGGCACGATCTCAGCTCACTGCAACCTCTGCCTCCTGGGCTCAAGCCATCCTCCCACCTCAGCCTCCTATGTAGCTGGGATTACAGGCATGAGACATCACGCCTGGCTGATTTTTGTGTTTTTTGTAGAGATGGGGTTTCACCATGTTGCCCAGGCTGGTCTCGAACTCCTGGGTTCAAGCCTCAGCCTCCCAAAGTGCTGGAATGACAGGTGTGAGCCACTGTACCCAGCCACTCCATCTTTTCTTAAGCATTTTTAACCTAGTTGATTTTTTTTTAAATACAGGTGACAGCATACCATATGACCTTTTTTCCCATTAGTATTATATCTTAAGTATGTTCTCAAGTGATTAAAAGCTTTTGTAAACATTTTATTGACTACATATTTGTTTTATGCTTCCGCTATGATTTAACTATTTCCCTAATAGTGAACATTCAGGCTGTTTCTAATTTTTTGTGTCTGTAAATCTTTGTCCACATTAAGCAGTATGCTATCATTTTTGTAGAGGGAGAAAATCTGGAGCGGGCAGAGATGGCTGGGGCAAGGGCGGGGGAGAGATTTTACTACATACGTTTTCATGTCTTTGGAATTTGGAACCATGTATTATTACCTGTTGAAAACAAGGAAATAAAATATCAAACCTGTGAACATTGTCAACTGTGAAGATGCCAAATTAATGTTTTTAATTTGAACAATAAGATGAATTTTGATGTTAAGAACTGTAAAAATTTTCCTTAATCAGCTTTCAGCTGCAACAGACCGAATTTGTTCACTTCAAGAAGAACAGCAGCAGTTAAGAGAACAAAATGAATTAATTCGAGAGAGAAGTGAAAAGAGTGTAGAGGTGAGAAATTGACCTTACAGCTGGGCAGCGTGTTCCTTCCTCAGACACACCCGTTGTCAATCTCAAGCTCATAGCTTAAGAACAAGCCCGTCTTCAGAATGCAAAGGTGCCTTGCTTGATGTCAGAAAGTGCCTCTCACCACCTTCCCTGCCCACATCACTCTAAGACCACCTGGATCACTTGGACGGGGACTCCCTGCCTGGCCTGTGGGCCTTTGCATGCCAAAGTTCCTACTCGTTCTTCAGCATCCACTCACCTGCCATGTCCTCCATGATGTCGTCCCAGGGGCCGTGGGCGGGCATGGGCCATCCTCCCTCATTCTGTTGCTCTTTGTGCCCTTCCGTGGTAGAGTCCATTTGATGTTTTGTAGGATTGTTGGCTTGCAGCTGTGTCACATGATGACTTAAGGGTAGAAACCACACCTGGGCCGGGCGCGGTGGCTTACGCCTGTAATCCCAGCACTTTGGGAGGCCGAGGCGGGCGGATCACGAGGTCAGGAGATGGAGACCAGCCTGGCCAACATGGTGAAACCCCGTCTCTACTAAAAATACAAAAAGTAGCCGAGTGTGGTGGCGGCGCCTGTAGTCCCAGCTACTCGGGAGGCTGAGGCAGGAGAATGGTGTGAACCCGGGAGGCGGAGCTTGCAGTGAGCCGAGATCGCGCCACCGCACTCCAGCCTGGGCAGCAGAGCGAGACTCTGTCTCAAAAAAAAAAAAAAAAAAAAAAACCATATCTGATTCACTTATAAATTCACTGAGTGCTAAAAACATGTTCATAAGTACTGGATGATGGGCTGAATGAGGGCTTTTCCTGCTAATGAAGTCTTGTTCCACTTTTTGTTGTTGTTGCTGCTGTTTTCCTGTGACGGAGTCTCGCTCTGCTGCCCAGGCTGGAGTGAGTGGCGTGATCTCGGCTCACTGTAAGCTCCGCCTCCCGGGTTCCCGCCATTCTCCTGCCTCAGCCTCCCGAGTGGCTGGAACTAAAGGCGCCGCCACCACGCCCGGCTAATTTTTTTGGTATTTTTAGTGGAGACGGGGTTTCACCGTGTTAGCCAGGATGGTCTCAATCTCCTGACCTCATGATCCACCCACTTCGGCCTCCCAAAGTGCTGGGATTACAGGCATGAGCCACTGTACCTGGCCAAGTCTTGTTCTGTTTTAAAGAAAACTGAATTTAAATTGCTTTATGAAAGTCACTTTTTTTTTTTTTGGAAACAGAGTCTTGCTCTCTGTCACCCAGGCTGGAGTGCAGTGGTGCAATCTCAGCTCACTGCAACCTCCACCTCCCGGATTCAAGCGATTTTCCTGCCTCAGCCTCCCAAGTAGCTGGAATTATAGGTGCATGTCACCATACCCAGCTAATTTTTATATTTTTAGTAGAGACGGGGTTTCACCATGTTGGCCAGGCTTGTGTCAAACTCCTGACCTCAAATGATCCTCCCACCTCAGCCTCCCAAAGTGCTGGGATTACAGGCATGAGCCACCACACCCAGCCAATGAACTTAACTTTTCAAATATCTATGGACTTAACTCTCATTCCTTTTTTTTTGAGACGGAGTCTCGCTCTGTCGCCTAGTCTGGAATGCAGTGGCACAATCTCAGCTCACTGCAAGCTCTGCCTCCCGGGTTCACGCCATTCTCCTGCCTCATCCTCCCAAGTAGCTGAGACTGCAGGCACCCACTACCATGCCAGGCTAATTTTTTGTAGTTTTAGTAGAGACGGGGTTTCACTGTGTTAGCCAGGATGGTCTCGATCTCCTGAGCTCGTGACCTGCCCACCTCGGCCTCCCACAGTGCTGGGATTACAGGCGTGAGCCACTGCGCCGGGCCAAATTTTTACCTTTTTCTATCTTGCTTAAAAAATAAAAATTACTTTACATTTTTTACAATTGTGGTATATTTTTAAGTACTTCATAATTAGCTTGCTTTCCACAAGCAAACAATTCCTCTTGGTGTCCTTGTTTGATACAGATAACAAAACAGGATACCAAAGTTGAGCTGGACACTTACAAGCAAACTCGACAAGGTCTGGATGAAATGTATAGTGATGTGTGGAAGCAGCTAAAAGAGGAGAAGAAAGTCCGGTTGGTGAGTGTGCAAGACTGAGTGTCTTTAGAGTCTCCCAGTAGCCCTCTAAGTTAATTCTGTCAACACTTCTCACAGGCATGCTTAACCGTCCGGATGCTCACGGAAAGTCAGAAGCTGTTCATTTAAAAAAAAGTTATTTTAAGTCTATGGTTACAACTCAGTTGTGCATTGTCACTTATATATTTTCCCATTTTATAAATCTTTATTTTTGTTTGTTTGTTTGTTTGTTTTCAAGACGGAGTCTCACTGTGTCTCCCAGGCTGGAGTGCAGTGGCACAATCTCAGCCCACTGCAACCTCTGCCTCCTAAGTTCACGCAGTTCTCTGCCTCAGCCTCCCGAGTAGCTGGGATTGCAGGCGCCTACCACCACGCCCAACTAATTTTTTGGTGTTTGGTTTTTTTTTTGAGACAGAATTTCACTCTTTTCTCCCAGGTTAGAGTGCAGTGGCGCGATCTCGGCTCACTGCAACCTCCGCCTCCCAGATTCAAGCAATTCTCCTGCCTCGGCCTCCAGAGTGGCTGGGACTACAGGCACATGCTACCACGCCTGGCTAATATTTGTATTTTTAGTAGTGACGGAGTTTCACCATGTTGGCCAAGATGTTCTCCATCTCCTGGCTTTGTGATCCTCCTGCCTCAGCCTCCCAAAGTGCTGTGATTACGGGCCTGAGCCACCATGCCTGGCCAGTTTTTTGTATTTTTAGTAGAAATGGGGTTTCACCATCTTGGTCAGGCTGGTCTTGAACTCCTGCCTCGGCCTCCCAAAGTGCTGGAATTACAGGTGTGAGCCACTGCGCCCAGCCATTTTATGAATCTTTTACAGGGATTGCTATGAGACCAGATTGATGGTTTATTTGACAATACAATTCTCTCAGTCATAACCTCTGCCCTATTTATTTCCACTCAGCCTGTGCATCAGTGACCAGGTTACTTGTAAACGCTGTTCTTGTGCCTGCTTTATTTCTTTGCTTTTTTGCATGAATACAAAGAGACATGTCCTGGGTCAGGACGGAACCATTTCAAAATGGTTGTACTTTCGTTGCTATAAACTAGCAAATCATTCTAGAAATTCTAACCTTGCACTATCAGATCCCTTCCAGCACTCAGACGAGACAGATATTCTTTGAGAACATGCATTCTGATCTGTGGGTATGGAAAACATGGTTGCTGGAACCTAGGCTCATCCTGCCACTGACCAGCTTTCTGTTGACTTGATGTGGAGCCAGCTTTAACCGTACAGTGAGGAACAGGGGAAACAGCATCTAATCCTGCTCAGACAGACTCTTTTCAGTCTCCCTAACCTATTCTCACCTTGTTTGTTTGTTTTGTTTTGGTTTGGTTTTTTTCTTTAAGACAATCTCACCCTGTCACCCAGGCTGGAGTACGATGGTGGCGTGATCTCGGCTCACTACAATCTCCGCCTCCCGGATTCAAGCAATCCTCCTGCCTCAGCCTCCTGAGTAGCTGGGATTACAGGTGCACACCACCACACCCAGCTAATTTTTGTATTTTTAGTAGAGACGGGGTTTCACCATGCTGGCCAGGCTGGTCTCGAATTCCTGGCCTCAAACGATCCGCCCGCCTCAGCCTCCCAAAGTGCTGAGGATTACAACCATGAGCCACCACGCCCAGGCTTCAGTTTGTATTTTAAGCACTACTTGAGATTCAACCCCAGTTAAATACATTTCTGTGATCTATTTTAATAACATTTTCCTTGTAAATATCCTTTTAAGGAACTGGAAAAAGAACTGGAGTTACAAATTGGAATGAAAACTGAAATGGAAATTGCAATGAAGTTACTGGAAAAGGACACCCACGAGAAGCAGGACACACTAGTTGCCCTCCGCCAGCAGCTGGAAGAAGTCAAAGCGATTAATTTACAGATGTTTCACAAAGCTCAGGTGGGAGTTGGCTTTGTGTGCATAGCACATCCTGGTTTCTGCTGCTCGTCAGTCTTGTGTCGTTCTTCTTACAGAATGAGCGAGAAGACACGTAGAGCCCCGCGTATGTGTCAGACCTGCTCCTATTATGATTTCGATCCTCATGGCAGTCCCTGAGGAATGGGGGGAAATGTAAGTGACAAGGCAGAGCCAAGTCACTAAATCACATGCCCCTGGTGACAGCTCATAAGGGGAGACGTGGGTCTTTTTAACCCAAACCCAAACTTTGTCCATCCACCTTCGCTGTCTCTCCACTGTCTGTTTCCTTCTATTTCAACGATTTACTGTTTACACCAAGCATGGAGGAGTGAATTAAAGATGTCATTTAGGGCCGGGCACGGTGGCTCACACCTGTAATGCCAGCACTTTGGGAGGCCGAGGCAGGCAGATCACGATGTCAGGAGTTCGAGACCAGCCTGGCCAACATGTTGAAACCCTGTCTCTACTAAAAGTACAAAAATTAGCCAGGCATTGTGGCGGACACCTCTAATCCCAGATACTCAGAACGCTGAGGCAGGAGAATTGCTTGAACCCAGGAGACAGAGGTTGCAGTGAGC